ACGACAGGGCATCAGAAGTAGGTTTGTAACCGATTTGTGTTCCAGTAATTGTGTTATTTTGATCTGGAATGTGGATACCACTAACACAACGTTCCGCATCGCTAACGACGCGGAAGTCCTTTATGGATAAGAACGACCCCAGTGCTGGAACCTGTTATGGCAGACTAGTCAAAGCATCGGATGCCTCTTGTATTTGATATGATTAGATTCATTTCAGTCAAGTGGTAACTGTAGAAGTTTTAAGTAAAATGTAAAATACAGTAAGTGTTATGTAATGCTGATAAAAGTGTCAAAGAAACTGAAGAAAAAGATAATTTATCATTTTTATAAACTGGGGCGCTTTGGTCATATCATTTCAGAGCTGTGATTCGGGTCTATTTAGCCTGAGACTGCTAAGACCGTTCGCGAACACCTGGTATCATGATTGATTTTCAGTGATCCATTCACATTATTTTTACTGCTAATTTGCACCAAGTGAAATCTGTTTTGGCGGGTAATGGAGAATGGTTTATCTCTGACGTTGACGTCTTATATTTATGTTGTATGGGAGGTAAGGTTGCCTTACACTAAGACTGCTTCGTTCATGTGGACCCTGATTTAGCGTACCATCGCACCCTGACTACGAATATTGCAGTTCCCACTGAGGCTCTGTTACCTGTTACTGGGTCGAATACAGTCAGTACACCGCCGTGGAATAACGGTAATATCCCCGCCCATGGCGTTAAAACTCTTTTCACTTACTCAATCAGAATTTCATGTAACACGCCAGGGGAGCTTCAGAAGGTTGTTGTATAGATAATTAGAGAGTATATCAGATGGCTATGTTTAGAAATGTTTCTTTGTATGGAGTCCCTATCCTGCTAGTGTTAATCAACTAACTGTACTGCTGTTTGCGGCGTAGAACCACTGGTGAAATATTTACGATACAAGTTGAAAGCATTTCCACTGGGACCGACTCCCTCGAGGGAGAGCATCAAAAGCTGTAAAGACATTTTAAATTGATATGTTCCGTGAACACCCTGAGTCATGAGATCCCGAAACCAAACCCACGGAAGCCTCTATTCCTGGTAGGAAACTCTTGAAATATTCCTGGAAGAAACCGTTTGATTATTTTGGATTGACACGTTTTGTTCCTGCGGCTACGTAACTTCCTTACGTAAACATTCCACTCACGATTCGCTTTTATGACAACGATACATTTAGATAGACTTGTGTTCTAGATGTGTCGAGAGGGATGTATCGAAATAGAATTGTTCCAATTCTGGATTCCTGTCTTCTGAGGTCAGTGACTCTTACGTCTATCGCAACATATGTGAGCCAATATGAGCACTTGTTTGATACCGTTTTGCGAATATTTTGAATGATGCTTGTGACGTATTTACGAAGCATGTTGATATGCATAATATGATTTTATTGATATGCAATCAAAGACTTCAGTAACACATTAACCGATATAGAAATTAAAGTAAGTTAACATATTTTGTTGGCCGTATCAAATGTTATAACAGGAATAAAATATATTTAAAAACATGTTTGTCACGTATAACATGGTATTCCGATGTTGATGTTTTTGCAGTTAATGAATAATAATCACTTTATTGTCTGTCATAATGTAGAACAGTATAGTTATATATTTACAGTATTGATAGAGAAGTAGGAAACATCAACGCCAGAGACTAACCAGTCTCGATAATCCAACGAAACAGATTCCACTGGGCGTACAATACAAAGCGCGGTGAACGTGTATGTACGTGTATTTAATCATACAAGAACACACACGAACATGGATCTCAAAACGATATTATTTCCCATATTTGATGTTTATGAATAGGTTTTAGGAAGGGATATGCAATCAGCTATAATTGGTTGCACAGGACATGAAATCTATGCCAAGTCGGCAACATTCACTATGAGACACACTTGGCCCTTCGTCAGATATTGTTTTATTTTGGCAATGATCCAATATCAGAACCGTCCAAAATGGTTGTGTAAAGTTATTACAAAGATAAATTATTAATTTTACATTACAAGTTTTATCCACAGTGGAATTGTCATTCATGAGAAAATTAATGAGATGTTGATGTAATTGCTTGGAACAGGTGTCGGTCGCTGCATGATGTGAATAGACGAGTAATGCTATAAATCGCATGGTGAAATTACCACCATTCACAGTGTGAAGACAGTGTGCAGTTAAATCAACCCAGGAAACATTTGATGAAGAAGGATCAAAACAGTCTTAGGTGATCCTATCTCAAGTCACACAACATTAAGAAACGAAAAAACGATGGTTCGAATCAAAAGCTTCCGAGAAGGGGAAATTTTCAGCCAAGCCGGTCATGCGCAGACGATATGAATCGTCCATTTTGACATTTGCTGTCAGTCATCCAGACAGCCCTTCAACAAAGTTTACGGCACCAACGTGCATGATTTACCAAAATGTTTCTTATTCAGTACAGTCATACATTTTTCAATGGCGTTTTGAATCCTGCTGATCAACGCACCCAGTTATTACACTTAACACTTCCAGGGGGTTGGGGTAAAAATAGGCGTCGAACTACCGAGGTAGATTTCATACCGTGGTTGTTGCCATACATCATCAACATATTTTGACTTTATGTTCTGGGATGACGTCAGTAATAATTATACTGCTCATGTTCTGCCTTGGTTCATGTGTATGTTCCCCCGATAGATGTAAGTCCTTATAGCGGTAGCCACTAGAGCTTCCAGCTTTTGTTTATAGTCGACTTCAAAGCGGACTTCAACGGCCTCTTAATGAGAAAAGAGGCTATGGGGTGTTATTGCCTGGTCTGTTGTTTTGTGGCGTTATTTCTGGAATAATGTTTGGGAAGAACCCACAGTTGGATTTCATACTTCTCAGCTGGGGTTTTGAAGCAGGAATACAGAAGTTTGTTCCCTTAGAATCCAAGAATCCACTATCATCCAATCTTAAATCAAAAATATATTCAGTTATGATATTATCGACATACTACTAGGTACTACAGATTGGCCTGATATTCTCTCTCTCTCTCTCTCTCTCTCTCTCTCTCTCTCTCTCTCTCTCTCTCTCTCTCTCTCTCTCTCTCTCTCTCTCTCTCTCTCATAATGTAGAACAGTATAGTTATGAGGGCTATGAACACCAACGATGTAATGAAGTATATACTGATATGGCCACTGTATGTACCGCGTAGACGGTGAAGCTTGTATTTGACACACTAGATTTCAGATTATGGTATTCTAATCATTTACACGGATAGATTTAATTACGTCAAGGCTTCAACTGCATGATCATATACCTGTGTGAATCTGGGTTGGATTGGTGACTTGATTTATTGCATGTTATCGTACCGCGACGGCGTAGCAGATTGTTCATATTGTTTAACACTGATTTGTCTGGATGAAGTGAAATTGGGTACAACGTCAAGTCGTTTTTCTCTTATGTAGCGATGTGCATGCACGTGTGTGTGTGTGTATGTGCATGCACGTGTGTGTGTGTGTGTGTGCATGTGTGTGTGTGTGTGTGTGTGCTAGTCTGGACCAATTCTGATTTTACAGCGCTAACCCCACTGAGATACCATACCGCAGTTTGACATGAATACCCTACCCACAGTTTACTGACTCCGAGCCGACCAATTCTTGTTTTAGCCCCTCAATGCCGAGCGCCAGGCAGAGTAACAACAAGTACCATTTTATAGCGTCTTTTGGTATGCCTTACCTCTAGACCACAGAGGAGGTCTGGTTTGTTTGGTCCAGACTCGATTTATTTTAGGTCGCAGTGATACACAGCTGGGATAATTCTGACCGTGTGGTAGCACCACATGGAACATGTAAATATAGGTGCACATGTAGTTGCACAAAAGTGGCCTTTTATATGAAGAAAAGGCATATCATAATATTCATGCTCTTTTGGAATAAACCTGTGATGTCCAAATCCTACAAAACCTCAACGCATTATCAGCAAACCACATGCTTGTCATCACCGTGTAAACTACCTGTATTTTGTATTCCCCATCCAGTTTCTCAGCCTCATTGGTTATTTTGGCAGTTTTAATGTATACAGAACCATGTGTTAAGTATACAAATACGTACTTCACACATTCTGCCAGTATTTTCACAGTGGTATTGTTTTAATGTCAGTGTATTTATCGTAAGAGTATTTTCGTGCCGAGCTTGCGCTCGGAGCTCCACGTAATGCCCAGATTTATTTGTGTTCAATCCAAAACATCTAACTGTGAGTGTAGTGACGATCTAGATGCCATACCTACTGATAGTATACACGTGAGTGAGAGTGTGTATCGTTGTCAGAGACACTAGCGTTTAGTAAAATATTTTGACAAGATACAGTGAAAGTTACTTAAACTTTTCTCACTGTTATTTTGAAGAATAAGTCCCGTCTAAAAGCTACTCAAATTTAACACAACCTGAAATAATGAGTCATATCCACACAGATCTTGTTTTCAAGTAATTCCTTTTCCGATTTTCTTAAATTTAATTCTCTTTTTGACGATTGAAGTATTTGTGATACGTTATACATTTTTGACATGATGTTTTCCTTCTTGCTCAGACTTGTTAGCCTAAAATGTTTAATGTTTAACCCACTACCCTCTGTGTATGGTCAGACCCATTGAAAAAATATATCATTCTAGCGATCACCCTTCCATTAATTTACCCACACCAAGTATATTGATTAGGATTATTTCTCTTGACTCGGCACGATGGTCGGGAAGCGGGCGAAGCTCTGAAGGGTTACATTGATCTACGTTAAGTTGGGGCATACGTCCCTGGCAGCCTGCCATACTTTCCTGCTCAATCCGTGGTTGCAATCTGAAGCCCTCTACTTATGAAGATACAACAGCGTGTTGAAATCCAAGACACGTGGTCGTGTTTTGTTTTGCTTGAATTTGGCTCTGGCAGTATCCGTTGTTCTAGTCATGATCATCACACACACCTGTGTTCTGCTTAATGGTATTTCCCTTTCGTCACCAATTATGTTTTGGTATTTGACTTCAGGCTAGGTGGCGTTATGGCCATAACAGCCTCGTTGTGAACTCCTCCCTGCAATGCCTGTCAACATTCATCATTTGAAACCATCGGCGTTGACAAATGGTTGTTCGTTTAGTGTTGCGTTCCGCCGATGGAGCTCCCAGCACTAACAAGACAGCTTCAGTATGTATTTTTTGTGTAAGTTTTGCTTCAGTGAATTCCGAGTAATGTGTTCTTGCTCTTTCTATGCTATACATTATTGTAATGCTCGTATCATTTACATGTTAAGCTTATATGTGAACATCGTTATTGTATTCATAAAAGAAAGACTATAGTTTCTGGAGTCTCTTTTGTATTAGGTCATCGCTTCCATTGGATGGTAGCTTACCCTTACCCTTGTATATTGATCCTCATCATTATAGCGTTGTGACTTCTTGTGGACGTTGTACATGTAGTCATTTCCTTGGGGAAGCCCGGTGGTTAAAGTGTTTGTTCGTCACCCGTCAGCCCATTCCTGGTGTCTCCCGCTGTGATATTTGTGGAATATTGCTAAAACCGGTGTAAATCCATACCCACTCACTCACTCACTCGCTCACTCATTTCACGACAAAGTAACTTCTTGTGGGCGTTGTACATGTAGTCATTTCAATCGCAACATAGTAACTTCTTTTGGACGTTGTATATGGTGGCATGTCCTTCACAACATGGTAACCTCTCGTGGAATGTGTATATGTAATCATGCGCTTGACGTCTTGTGGACAGTGTATATGTAATCATGCGCTTGACGTCTTGTGGAATGTGTATATGCAACCATGTCCTTCACAACATAATAGCTTCTTGTGGAATGAGTATATGCAACCATGTCCTTCACAACATAATAGCTTCTTGTGGAATGTGTATATGCAACCATGTCCTTCACAACATAATAGCTTCTTGTGGAATGTGTATATGCAACCATGTCCTTCACAACATAATAGCTTCTTGTGGAATGAGTATATGTAATCATGCGCTTGACGTCTTGTGGACAGTGCATATGTAATCATGCGCTTGACGTCTTGTGGACAGTCAGTGTATATGTAATCATGCGCTTGACGTCTTGTGGACAGTGTATATGTAATCATGTGCTTGACGTCTTGTGGACAGTGTATATGTAATCATGTGCTTGACGTCTTGTGGACAGTCAGTGTATATGTAATCATGCGCTTGACGTCTTGTGGACAGTGTATATGTAATCATGTGCTTGACGTCTTGTGGACAGTCAGTGTATATGTAATCAAGCGCTTCACAACATAGTAACCTCTATATAAAATCGGTAATAAGTATTATACTAATCTACTGTCGACATCACATTTTCTGTTTCGATAGCCTGAAATATTCATTGCTATATCCTGAATGCTTGCTCAACCTGTCACACATTGGTCATTATAGTAAGGTTGTCACAGCTTCAAATTCACCACGAATGTGGCATGCTTTATGCTGCCTTTATTGTATATAGGACAATTCAGGTCGATCCTTTCCTATCATATATCAAATTCAAGGTTATAAAATGTCGAAGCCCGGCTATGCAAGCGAAAATGAGTGTGAAATGATGCTGAAATGCAATCGGTAGAGCAACAGCTGGTGTCCACATCGCATTGACCTCAAAGTACATTATATCCACAGTAGTTCAACATTTGGTCATATTGGCTTGAGTTGGAGACATGTGGTTAATCGTTTACTTAATCGTTATAGTTGGTTACATGCTGGAACTATTAATGTTTGATTCAATGGTGGTCTAATCTTATGTCGTTGTAAGAACAGATCTTTATGAAAACGGCTTTGACTGAAGTTTGGCAGTACCGACCATTGTCATCACATAGGGGCAGTATTGGCAGTACCAACCATTGTCATCACATAGGGGCAGTATTGGCAGTACCGACCCATGTCATCACATAGGGGCAGTATTAGCAGTACCAACCACTGTCATCACATAGGGGCAGTATTGGCAGCACCAACCATTGTCCCCACATAGGGACAGTATTGGCAGTACCGACCATTGTCATCACAAAGGGGCAGTATTGGCAGTACCAACCATTGTCATCACATAGGGGCAGTATTGGCAGTACCAACCATTGTCATCACATAGGGGCAGTATTGGCAGTACCAACCATTGTCATCACATAGGGGCAGTATTGGCAGTACCAACCATGTCGTCACATAGGGGCAGTATTTGCAGCACGAACCATTGTCATCACATAGGGGCAGTATTGGCAGTACCAACCATTGTCATCAAATAGGGCCAGTATTGGCAGTACCAACTATTGTGCTCACATAAGGGCAGTATTGGCAGTACCGACCCATGTCATCATTGGGGAGGAGGGGGGGGGGGGGTGGGGGGGGCATGATTTGCGAGTACCAACCATTGTCATCACATAGGGGCAGTATTGGCAGTACCGACCCATGTCATCATGAGGGCATTAATGCGAGTACCAACCATTTCAATCACATAGGGGGCATTAATGCGAGTACCAACCATTTCAATCACATAGGGGGCATTAATGCGAGTACCAACCATTGTCATCACATAGGCACATTAATGCGAGTACCAACCATTTCAATCACATAGGGGGCATTAATGCGAGTACCAACCATTACCATCACTTAGGGGGCATTGGTGCGAGTACCCACCATTGTCATCACATAGGGGCAGTATTGGCAGTAGCAACCATTGTCATCACATAGGGACATTAATGCGAGTACCAACCATTGTCATCACATAGGGGCATTAATGCGAGTACCAACCATTGTCATCACATAGGGGCAGTGTTGGCAGTACCAACCATTGTCATCACATAGGGGCAGTATTGGCAGTACCGACCATTGCCATCACATAGGGGCAGTATTGGCAGTACCAACCATTGTCATCACATAGGGGCAGTATTGGCAGTACCGACCATTGCCATCACATAGGGGCAGTATTGGCAGTACCAACCATTGTCATCACATAGGGACAGTATTGGCAGTACCAACCATTGTCATCACATAGGGGCAGTATTGGCAGTACCAACCATTGTCATCACATAGGGGCAGTATTGGCAGTACCAACCATTGTCATCACATAGGGACAGTATTGGCAGTACCGACCATTGCCATCACATAGGGGCAGTATTGGCAGTACCAACCATTGTCATCACATAGGGGCAGTATTGGCAGTACCGACCCATGTCATCATGGGGGGTGGTGGGGGGGGGGGGGCATTAATGCGAGTACCAACCATTACCATCACTTAGAGGGCATTGGTGCGAGTACCGACCATTGTCATCACATAGGGGCAGTATTGGCAGTACCAACCATTGTCATCACATAGGGACATTAATGCGAGTACCAACCATTTCAATCACATAGGGGCATTAATGCGAATACCAACCATTGTCATCACATAGGCTCATTAATGCGAGTACTAGCTGTTCACTTATACAAGTTTGTGAAAAAGGTATAAGCATTGTTGTATGTAAGCCAAGTGTAATTCTTGCCATCTATTCACCTAGACGTTTGAATGTTACCGAATATCTGCGTTTCCCCTCGAAAATAATGAGATGATGAACACGTAATTATTCTTGCAAGCTCTTACTCAGTGATGCCAACAAACTCATTACTGAGAACGACCGATGGCGTTTATCGTTGATCTACTCATCACTGAATATGATACAACAATGAGAAAACCTATTTGCATGATATGGCTGTTGCCATGGTGATTAGCAAGCGAAATGGCGTCACGTAACAGTTTACGTCGTTAATGACGTCATACCAATTACAATTGGTTCCACGTCCATGTATAATGATAACTCAGTTTGAAATTAGGAAAGTAGATGGGTAATTGATGAACTAATCAGAGTAATGCAATATTTGGTTCTGTGTCAATTAATACCACGACATTTTCCGACATATGTGCTACATATCGAGTTAATGAGACTAGTTTCAACTGAACTGCAAGTATGTTCATCATTTATGGTGGTACCCTTGCGATGACATGGCACCGGTTCTTTAAAAAAATAGTATACTGGAAACATATGCCTCTTATGAAATATACCTCATTAAAAGGCATATCCCTCACCACTTCTTTCCATCACCCTAACCATCGACTGACAAATAGGCGTTCCTTGAATTTACGATGCGACGGTCTTAAAACATATTAACGATTACTGTTGTGATTACTGTATGAATGACCCAGAGGTCCAAGAGAAACTGTGAATGCATTCGTTATGTTCCACATACGTGAATATCTAACCTCAATCTAGCTCCGGCGAATCAAATCCGATTGATCTACCAAGTCTCGTTGTCTTCTCGGCTTAGACGCGATTTGGTCGAAACCTCAGACAGTTATTGACAGAAGTCCTCCCGGCCGCCAACGATTGTTCGTCGCTTGTTTAGTGTTGACGTATTGCTAAGCCCGACATGTTTATGCCACAGTCAAATGTCTTACTGATGTGGCTTGCCACAGTAGCATATGTCTGAGTGAAGCTTAGTATGGAAGCATAACAGTGTTATATGGAGTCATTAGGCACAGCGTGGGTGCTGGCTTGCCATATGGGTTTCCATATCCGAGTCCACCAGTCTTCGCGAGGCAATGGCTCTAATATTTGTTGAATATGTATGACCAGTAATTGACTAGAAGACCATGCTTGGTATATCTTGTATATATTCATGTACGATCTAAATGATGAGCTTTCCTTTTCATGGTATAGAGGCTTTGATGTTTTGATGATCGGTTACGGAGTGAATGTGGTGCGTTGTGTAATGTTCATGCCTATTAATTGGCATCGGAACCAGCATCCTCCGTCACAGCGAAAGCACAACCTTTGCCTAATGCTAACAGGGCCAATAATTATGTATGTAAAAAAGTTCATTGTCATAACAATGTAGAAAGTATTATTAATATATTAGTAGTGAATACACATCACAGCTTGCATTATTTATTTATCCTTAACAAATATTCATTAAAATAATAATTCAAGTTAAAGAAAATAATATGACATGGTTGCTTGATTAATTTGATGAAATTCGATTATACGAAAAACAAAATTATATGTTACATAGTCATTAGGTTGAAGAATACACTTCACATGCTGACATTAATTTATGACGCAAGTTCAGCATGAGATAACAGATCCAAAACTGCTTGAAGTGGTTGGGCGACAATCTGGTGTTCATGTCTCTGTTCAAACATATATACCACTTAAGGAATGCTCGATTTAAAGCGTTATATGTAGTTAACCTTGTAACAAAAGGATATAAACTCGGTAGCTTCAAACAAACACTGATATACTTTACATTGAAATACACCACTGTGCAGTTGTTGAACGTGTTCAGTTCAGCATGTTAAGCCTTGTAGCAATACCATGTGAACCAGAAGAATCTTCACATATCTACAGTACTCCAGTGACCTCCATCCTATCGTCCAGATCGCTGAATGTTAATACGCTGCTCTTTCCCTACTCCCTCATCATTAACTCCGCCACACATCTCACTCTTGAAGACAGTTCTTGTATTTATACACGTCAAGCACTCGCTGTAGTAATTTTCTTCCAAGCATAAACTCACTTGCACATTCCCTGAGCCTTCAAATTATGCTGATGGTTTGTGTGACTTCTGTGTCATATCGAATAAACAACATAAGCTTGTTCTTTACTCCGGGCTGGGATAATGTGCTCCTTCCGTCTTCACTTAGGTGTGAGATAAAATCTCCTACTTCAGCAATTAGGAAACATTATTGGTGCATCTGTTTGGAATCAGACTAAGAATAAAACATGATGTAGTTAAACATATCGAATATCCATGAATTGAAGATCATATTGTATAATGTGTTGACTTGTTTACGCGGTGTTATTAATCAGGAAAATAGTCCCGTTTGTAATGGATTCGAAGGGAGTAGGTTAGGTTGAACGTCCTTTGGCTATGCTGCACCCATCTCGCAGCGGTATGGTAGGAACAGGTTTCTTGAATATCGGTGTGGCATTTCTACCGGGGCCATGTACTTGACCTCTCTGCTGTCTGCGAGCTGGGGGAATGTTTTGTTTGGGAGCTCAACCGTGTGTGACAAACTGTGAGTCGGATCTATGTTCTATGAGTGTCAACAAATTGACGTAAAATGCTATCATGTAATAGGTTGCTTCAGTGTAATTCAGCGAAAGCAACAGTATGGTTTAGGAAGGCACAAGGCAACGGTGTGGTGTAGGAAGCATCACTGTGGTGTATGAATGCATGACAATGGTGTATGAATGCATCACTATGGCGTATGAATGCATCACTATGGCGTATGAATGCAGCAGTATGATGTATGATAGCAGCAATATGGTGTATGAAAGCATGTTTGCTTTTCGAACTATTTAAACATTCAGATCGAATGAAACGTACTGAATGTATGTCGAATACATACAATTAGAACAATGGAAGTTGCAGAAGACACCAGACTCAATCAAGCCACACTGGCAAAGGTCTTGGAGACATGATTTACTTCCTTTGACCGCCGATAATGACCAGTGTCCACTTCAACGGTATCCATGCCTGGCATTATTCACCTTGTCATCATTCTGTACGCTGGCGATATTAATTATGGTTGTAAGTAGTGACTAACGGTCATTCGGTGAACCGGTGCTAGAAATAGCCTATTCTTATTACCGGTGTAATGAGGGCACAGGCATAGTCACTTTACCAATGCTTGGTGATCACTGGTTAGTGTATGCATTTTCTCAATATTGTCATATTGCATGTTGATATGAAAGAAGTCGGTATGATATAGTATTTCAGAGCATATCTTTTGAAAGATCGTCAACGTTAATGTTGGTATGCAATACGATGAACCATATTGCATTAATCATCAGACTTCACATCAGTTGTATTCCAATAGCTGTACTCTGTCTTGAACTAAGAACATCTTACAATGCTACATCTCATAGAAGATAAACATGAAATCTATTCCACAACGTGTTAACCACTTCATGTCAAATCAGGTTTGTGAGAAATCGATTGTTTTAATTGTATAATGTGCCACAACTCTCGCTGTGCGATACGCGTATTTTATGGGATATTGGCAACGATCCACAAAGTGTTGCTCTTCATGTTTTGCATTGATTTACTCGACTCAGCTCAACGCAGAGATGCTTCAGTACTCTGTTTGCCGTCCATGGCCGCCATCTTGGATTTTCTCTACCATCTGCTGTGAGAAATTATCGATTTTCCAGTGCTGGTTAAACATTGCTAACCGACTTGGCATTATTTTCTTGCAGATCTGACACCAGGGGACGGACTTGCCGCTTCCTAGTTGACAGTCCTCGTACTATAATACACTTTTGAGTCCGACCTATTTCAGAAGAGAACCGAGCGGACAGCCGTTCTATTTTCGATCCCAAAAATATTTTCAGCCATTTCTAATTTATGGAAACGGTTTACTTTATGTATTTCATCACTGTGAACTCCAGTGGCTCTGGGTTGGGTTTGGCCTACATTGGTGAGATGGGGAATATTCTATTCACCACATATTGCTAAATGCATACGTGCAGGTGTTTTCATATGCATATTTTGGCAATTTGCACCTGCAACCTTTTTGAATTTTGCACCCTCTCAAAAAAAACATCCTTAGTCAATGAGGAACTAATAAGTGGCTATGTTTCAAAACGTTTTATATGCAGTCGTCATTTCCTTCTAATAGAATGATGTTTGAATACGGTTATATGCGAGATAGGATCTGAGGTGAAATACGTGATTCAGTTGTTAAGGTTCTTCTGTATACAGATTCACCGATTCACGAAAACACAAGCCACATTTTGCTCCAAAATCGATGAATAGATAAAGCCTAAGAATCTACATGACCTTCCAACAGTTTTCTTGTTTACACACTGAGGGTGCCCGTTCCACTACTGCTGGGATGAAGTTCATAGACACACAAAGCTTACAGTTACGCATGAAACACCGTGTTGTTATGTCGTCATCATCATCATCATCATCATCATCATCACCTGATTGTGTGGTTCAACCTTGCCCTGATATTTACTCACCTACGTGTTTAACGGGTTCTTCCCACTTACCCAACTCATATTGTCAAGAAGTATAAAAACCAACAGCAAATGTCGACGTTCTCTGTCACTGCGGAGCTCGTGACAGAGGCTGTGATCTGACTGAAATTCTGTTCATAACAGCATTTCACTCACGTCTTCTATGTCAAGATAATGTACAGCTGCATGTCAATATCAAGGATGCTACAACAAGGTCTACTTTATTGACAAAATAATAATTGCAATGGGTGTGGCCCGAGTGTTTGTCCCGCCGATAAATGCTACATACGTTTACACACCGATAAATGCTACATACGTTTACACACCGATAAATGCATGTGTATACTGAGGGTATATTTGGAGGTCGACGTCCTATAATCCAAAGCAATGCTTCATAACGCTCAAGCGAATATACGATACACGCGGCTAGTAGTTGATCGTGAATACGTCTATACATTTTACACGAATTTTGGCATTCCGGACAGGTATTTCGTATGTGTGTACTATTGAAATATTGATCTGTTGGCTTAGGCAGTTATACAGCACTGTAATGGTATACACTATCTGATCGGCATGGTAGATTGTCAAGTTTCCTGTGCCGTGTTTTCTTGTCAATAATCATTATTAGAACATACCTGGTATTTCAGTGATCAATTCATACAATAATTATTGTCATCACTCTTTTGCCTTTTACACCATATGCAATGTATGTTGGCTTGTTGGGCCTCCACTTCAAGTAAATTATGCCACGGCAGATACATTGTTGGTATACCTTTACTGAGAGCTTGACATGCTCAGTCTTACGTGGAATGATTAATCTTGATTACATTAAATAAAGTTGCATTTAATAACCAGTAAATACGTAATTGAATGTACAATATATTTTGCAGGTCCCCAGCTTATGAGAGCATGCCCCGACGTCGCTACCAGCTCATCAGAAGGTGAAGGCCGTCGCGCACCATGAGGCATAAAAGCAGTGGCGGTAGAGCGGCGGATGCACATGTTACATAAGGGGTTAATCCACCTAGCCGGACACTGACTGTCATCACACTCGTAGGGTTAATGTCATCACAGAGCGACCTTACGTGGTAGTAGTTTCCTAGGCGACATTACACCGGAAGGAGAGGTGGATAGAAGCTCTCCACTTCCGGAGGTAGAGAAATATTAGTAGAGTCTCGTTCTGGATAATAGTGATTCGCAGACTCGGATGGTGTGTTCACTGTGGATCAAGGTTTAGTTCTCCTTCGTCCCGACTGTTTGTGTGATTCATATATAGGATCTATTGCAGTAGGATACACCAACAACCATTTATATTGCTTTGTGTACCAACAAGGAGGGCATTCGGTTGACCCTCTGTGTATTGACGAGTGAACACAATGACTGATGCAGATAACAGGGTTATCCTCAATGTAGGGGGCATACGCCATGAGACGTATAAAGCCACCTTAAAGAAAATCCCGGCCACCCGATTGTCCCGTTTGACGGAGGCCTTGGCCAACTATGATCCAGTACTCAATGAGTACTTCTTTGATCGCCATCCCGGGGTCTTTGCTCAAATCCTCAACTACTATCGTAGTGGCAAACTTCATTACCCGACGGATGTGTGCGGTCCGTTGTTTGAAGAGGAGTTGGAGTTTTGGTCTCTTGATGCCAACCAGGTGGAACCCTGTTGCTGGATGACATACACCCAGCACAGGGACACCCAAGATGTGCTCGCCATCTTGGATCGGTTGGATCTTGACACAGACAAACCAACAGAAGAGGACATCATGAAGAGGTTTGGACTTGAGGAAGAGTACAAACAGGGCGAGCTGAACTGCTGGCAGCGGATTAAACCAAAAATCTGGGCATTGTTCGATGAACCGTACTCGTCTACAGCCGCAAAGGCAAGTCACCAGGTGTTTTGACTTAAATTGCCACCTTTCAGTGTGTAGAGTCCTTGTTGTGATAGTCATGTCAACATTGACAACCTCCCCTTGGCTAGGCCTCAATACACTGAACCATGGGAAAACAAAAGAGAGAGTTTTACATACGATTCAATTTTTCAAAACAGTAATTATGTAAACTAAAAACGCAACTATCAGATAAATATTAACTGTTTGAGTAGTCGAATTTTAGAAAAAGACCAATTCTTTTCACACTGTAATTGCCGTAAACGTGCCTTGGACCAACGCCTACTCGAACAGTTATATTTCCTAATACCTAACATTCCTTCCAATTTGTAATTTGTAAGTTTGTCTTTCGACGTAAAATTTGAGTAGTCACGTTTTTATAATACAATACATCTACAACCTGTTTAAAGGCCGAAAGAGTCCCTCTAACAGAGGTCCTACTCGATCAGTTGTTTGTCCCATGGTTCACTGTGATCGTAGTGCCATCTATCGGCGGAGGTCAAGCTAAAGGGGGGACTTTTATATCGTGATCGACTCTATCTCTCTGTTCTCTTTAACTTAGACTGCTAGAACTCAGTTACACCATGTAGAAATATATCTATATATATATATACAACAAACTCACACTTTTTCTCGCTCCGGTACACCCCAGCGTGTTAGCCACGGCAATATCAAATATTATCCAAGTAGCCGAAGATGCTTGCTTCCAAATGGAAAATGAATGGCGGTCCCATCGATGATGACAACTGGAGGTATTATAAAGGTGGCAATTTCATTAATATTAACAGCTATGCGCTATGCCATATTAACAGCCACTGCATGAACACCTCACCCGTGTATTGGAATCTGGTTGGAGGGAATATGGTTTAACCACTGGTTGAAGGATATGGGTTTTCTTTGTCTTGTGGTTAAGAGCAGAGTCTGATGTCAGTCATTGTTTGGCGTGATCAGGCCTGGAAGCTCTTGTTTGTGTGCTGGTGGATTGTCTGAAGAATGTGTTGGGGTGGATTATATAGGTGCATATGTCTGAGAAGAGTTTTACTCTGTATTGCAGTCGTGGTAATACCTTGCTTTTCAATGTCTAGGGGAGTTTCAAGAAGTACCAACTTGTATGTGGTTGTGAATGTGTCGATAGACATGCTTAAACAGATATGTATGCTGTTGAATATCAAATATACTCCAAAATAATATGACTTGATAAAATGAAGAAGTGGATTTTCTTAAACTGACATTTAACCTAAGGAAAGTACTATTTTTCCATCTTTGAAAAACACGTCAACAATCAATATATTGACGTCGCTATGACGTCACCAGATTATGTACTTTAGATCGTGGTCAAGTAGGAAGATTTTGAAGAATAGAAATGATGGTTTTAATTTGAAATGGAAATTATGTTTGGTATATTCATAAGAAGCTAGATCTCATTTGCATGCAGTAGGATACCACGTGTACATCTTATAGGTGTGTAGGCAGTACTGTTCTGTGATGTTGGTCACGGCCTATTAATCTAGAAGGCGGGATATTTGTACAAATATATCTCTTTATAACTGAAGCAGCACGAACCTTGATCCCAGACTTTCAAAGTATGTTATTGAAATTCCAACATGAACCTTCATAAAAATATTGTAATTTTTGTCACGCTACCGCAGCTTATCTTTTCGGTTTGGTAGGTATTTGTAAGCATGGCGTGAGCTGTGCCTGGAGTTTGAACGTTGAGACTGTCTGGAGGGGGCTATCAAAGGGAAATTATGAAATCATACTTCAGTAGGGTCTGCTGTGGGTTGAATGAAAACTACAAAGAGGTGCTTGTTTATGTCAGCGTAATATCAATGTGCGTTCAAATCGTGTATTTAGTTTTCAATTTGGTAGTGTAATGCCATCAATACCTCATTATGGGGCACACCTAGACGTTGTGTATATCGGCTAGGCGTGCAAATTGTTGTTCACTTTATGTCCTCTGGTGAGGTGAATCAGTGGAATTGAGGGAGTCTCCGTCGGTACATTCATCCAAGATTTATTTTGATAGCATGTTACAAATTACATTAGTCACTTATGAGTTCTTGAGTTATTTATGAAAACCTCTGACGCTGCTAATTGATAAATAAAGTTCACAAATAGTCCCTAAAGTAAACATGTATACAAAAATGCTATTTTTCTAGTCTGAAAACCGATTTTCGAAATTGATTGAAATTTGCAACTTTATAGGTTAGACACTTGATACGAGTCAGATATTTTCTTTTATCGTAGACATATTAAACCTAATTGTGGTGTGCCAGTCTAAGACTGTTCAGCAAATACTCTTGTCGAATATCTAGGTGTTCAGTATCTAATCTTGTCGAATCTCTAGGTGTTCAGTATCTAATCTTGTAGAATCTCCATGTGTTTAGTATCTAATCTTGTCGAATCTCTAGGTGTTCAACACCTAATCTTGTCGAATCTCTAGGTGTTCAACGCCTAGTCTTGTCGAATCACTTGGTGTTCAATATCTAATCTTGTCGAATCACTAGGTGTTCAACACCTAATCTTGTCGAATCACTAGGTGTTCAGCATCTAATCTGGTCTAATCAGTTGGTGTTCAGCATCTAACCTTGGCGAATCAGTTGGTTTCTTAGCATCTAATCTTGCCAAATCAGTCGGTGTTCAGAATATATATTTCTTAAATCGGTTTGTGTTATACATCTAAGCATATCGAATCAGTGGTTATTCAGAATATATAGTTGTTGAATCATTTGGTGTTCTGAATTTATTCTTGTCGAATCATGACACATTTAGCAACATAACCCGCCGTAACATTGGCTGTTCAGAACCTAGTCTGGTTGAATCATTGGATATTCAACAATTTAACCTGCCGTACTTTGGGTGTTGAGAATCACAACTTAACTATTGCCATATATGTACCTATAACACAGAATTGAGAACTAATAATTCATGTTTCCATTACTACTACTAATATAGTCCCAATATCTGCCATTGTGTACTTAACCAGTTTCAAGTAAGACACTGCCACTTAAAACATAAAGATTGTTTTCTGAGTACTGATATTTTCTAGTTCAGATTAGTAATGTATATCATGCATTATGTGGCCGATAGAAGACTATGAGATATGTGCTTAAAACCGTGTAGGAATACAATCTAATCACTGCATCTGCATCCGCCTCGTGGAAGTAGTTCTGCTTACGCAGCTTGGGGTGTATGCTTTCACTGTGCAAGGACAGACGTGCATTATCGTAAGCCACCTTGAGCAATGTCCACACGTATGCAGGCACCTACACGTTTTCGTTTTGTCATGCAATGCCATTATTAAATGTCCCTGTTTCTCATAGCATACAGGACATATCACTATCACCCATACCACTAACACATCAAAAGCATGCTGATCATTCTAACACAGTAATATTCCATACATATTTGGATTAAGAGAATTGATCTCTCAGCTTCTGAAATACACCCCGAATACGACTGTTCTATCAATTATTTCGTCTACAACATCTACATGCGAGTGTTGTGAATCTTTTCTGTTGTGTTGTGGTACGCATCTGTTGTTCGTGGTGTTATATATTTAAATGGTAATGATGATAACATCAATTCATATTGAGTTAATTTTCATTTCTCTACTTGATATATCACTGATATAAATATGTTTTTACTTGTAATTTTACAATACATTTCTTGAACTATGATTAATATATCATATATATATATATACACATTGACAACTGATTGATATAATGTGACTAAAGTCATTTTTCTACCACCAGAATCTATCCACCAATGTTTATCGTCAGTTGTCGTATGCACCAAGTTCAAGCTACATGATCACGGGGTAAAACATAGTATGAGCTCCACTGCCAAATTACCAAAGACAATTCAGCAAATCAATTAAGTATCAGTTTGATATTATCCAAAGATTGCGTTAAATACTATTAGCGTAAATATTGAAAAGCGTTTACATGCACTACTTTACAAGGCAAGAGCTCTGGGATCAGTGTCTGGTTTGGGGGTCGCGGAAGGATATGGAGACGTTTGGGAAACAAGGTTACTCCATTTGTGAAGCAGCAACAACGGCATCAGGCAAGGTCTGCAACTAGGAGGTTATTGATCTTCATGGTGGAAAATCGAGATGGCGGGAATGTTGCCTGCAAGCCAGCGAAGACGATGGCCACCACGACGTCTGTATGGCGGCATCATCGGAAGATTATGACGATTTATTCCTCACAATGATGTCAGGAGCCGATACAATGACGTAGGCACCGTGTTGCTTAGTGAACGATGACGTGGATGGTCGTGGTCGTCAACGTTCCCTGTCCCCAACGTGCATCTTCATCAGAGTGATGGGGAATGTGGCAGTGTGTTTGGATCGATATGCCAAATGGATATGGTCTATTTCTGAATTTGGTCTCTTACTTGCTCGGTTTCTTGACGGGTTAGGCAGTGTCTTCACACACGGATCAAATGATTTAAAAAATCAATCATCCCACTTGATGGATAGTACTAGATCCTAATGGAAGTGTTTTACCTAAAGTCCGTTCCATATTTCACTGTTTTTAAGGAAGCGGGTAACAAGGCATTCATGAAAGACAGCTCGGTGGTTTTGTTACAATCATATCTTTATAGTTTTAGGCTTCGGTGTTTAGTACTCGAGAACACCACCTTTCACAATCACGGGTTAAGTAGCTGTATTAGTATGTAGATCCTTTAAGATCTTTCCTGTAACGCAATACACTTGTTTGTTTGTTTGCATAATGTATGCAGGTGAACCGTTAGTCTTTTTCCTTTTAACTAAACAAATACATTTTTCCAACCCTAAGATATACTGTCATCTGAACGACAACAAAACATATTTTGGAAATCCTTTTTTGAATACAATAAACGTTATTTCGCAAATACCCATGCGACAAAAAAAACCCGTCCCAACTCAGCGTGCCTCTCATATGTACTGAGGGTTACTAAATGATACGTAGAATATTCAGATATTCAGACATACACGATGAAAGAAACATCATTATTTTCCACAAACTGTAATACCGTATAAAACTATATTAACGAAAATTGCAACGTCACAATATAAGCGCAAAGGGAGAATTGACCCACTGCTGACATCACGCTCGTTAAATTAACATGATGGAGTATGTGT